CTGACCGAGCACTTCCTGTTATGGTGAGGAGGTTGCGAAACACCAGCGACCTAGCCCAGGACACCGCCGAGCAACTGAACCACATGCGAGCCGTAGTGGCAAGAGCGGAACGAGAAACTCAGGAAGTAATCCATAACTTTCATGTACGTCAAGCAATTTGGGAGGATCGACTACGAGCCACAGAACAACAATTGGCGCGTCTTCAGGGCGCATCCACATCATCATCCCCACCACCCGACACCTCTCGGAGCACTACGGATAAGAAGACCCCCTACTAGTGCTATGTTCTCTTATGCTTACCATGTTATGTACTACCGACTCCATGTTTAAGTGATTACACTACTCATAGAGTCGTTATGCTGCCGAACTTTGTACCTTTATGTATGCTCTTTAGAGCAAATTTTCATGTATCAAAGTGTGGATATTATTAGTGGAAAATATTATGTGTTTATTTGTGATGTTGTGATCTGCTATGTGTTTTATACTCTTATTGTTTGGTGTAAATATATGGAATCACTTAAATGCAAAATCGACTCACGAAATTCCCAACTTAAATACAATACGTACTCAACATCTTTATGTTCCATAACAGCAAGATACCGCAAAGACCAAACCGTGGAAACAATCAACCACCGACACCACCAGAAATCAACTCAGTTGCATTTCAAGCAGCTGTATCTGCTGCAGTCACAGCATGTCATATCTGGCAAAATTAGGTTAAGATGTGAATTCCTAAACAATATAATCTCCTTGTATAAGCCCAAAAACTCGATCCATAAGCCAAACCCAATCATTTTGGGCCTTAACCCATAAATTCTCAACCCAATACCCTTATCGGACCAAGACTTCCTTATTGGGCCCTATTGGGGCCGATAACTCCTTCAATTGGTCTTTTTGGCCCGAAAACCCTTCCTTGGGCTCTAATGGGCCGGAAATTTCTTAATGAACCAAGAACTCTTTTAGGCCAAGCCCAAGATTTTCTTCCTTTCCCTCTCCTAGTGGAACAATCGGCCCATTTAAAAAAATGAATAAATAAATGAGAAAAGAAAGAGAAGACAAATACAAGGGTTGACTTGGTGGTGCCACCTCCCTAATACCCACCATACAACAATGCAACTATCAAATCAAGGTTCCTATAAGACAAACACCTCCTTCCCCTCCTTCCCTCTCTTATTCACGGCCAATACACACACTCACACACTCCACAAGTCTCATTCTTCTTCACCAAACACTCAAGAAAACAACCTCCTTATTCTCTTCTAATTTTCGAGTTCATCATCTTCAAAGACGAATCCTAGGCTTTTTGGTAAGATCTACACTAAACTCAAGTGTTTTGTTTCATATTTATGCTTATAACATTCAATTTACACACTTTGTTGTGTGTCAAACTTCTTAGAACACCCATATTTTCAAGATCTCTCCAAGTTGTTCAAGCTAGACTCAAAGTTTCTTCTTCATCTCCTCCTACACTTAGAAAATCCCCAAGGTGAGTTCATACCCCCCTTGTTTTCGGTTTTATAATGTTTTTGGGGGAGAATACAAGTGCTTTTGTGTTAGATTTATGTATATATGCATGTTTATGTGTTTAACTTTTAGATCTTTACTTGAAAATGAAGTTTATCACTTGGATCCTCATATAAACCTTGAGAAAAGTATGTGTCCTCACATATAATACTTGTAAACTTGTAGATCTAGGATTTATCCACTTAAAATAGAGAAAACAAGTGTTGTGAACAAACTTAGATAACTTAAACTCAAAAATCAGCCCTTGACAGAAAAATTTTAGTCCAATATCGAACTGTTTTGACCTCCTTAAAATGTTATTTTTACCACAAACTAGTCAAAAACAAAAGTTTTGAACAAAATGGGGGCCAAAGTGTTATTTTTACTATAATTGGGCCTTAATTGAAAACTTTGTGGCTTATTGGGCCAAGAACGTCATTTTTACAAAAAGTGGGCTTTCTATATCAGTTTTGTAAATAATCGAGCTAAAATAAACAGAACAATAACAAACGGGTTAAAAACGATTTTCTTATCCTTACTGGGCCTGGAAATAGTATACATGTTTAGTGGGCCTTAGTGTCCTTTCACATGTATATTGGGCTCAGGGTAGACATTCACATTCCTTTTGTGCCTGGAAATAATAGATACGTATAGTGGGCCTTAGTGGTCCACTTACATGTTTATTGGGCCTGGGAATGAGTTTTATATGTGTTCTTCTTTCTGGAAATGGTGGTCCACTTACATGTTTATTGGGCCTGGAAATGAGTCTAAAACATGAATAAACTATTTTTAAGGGTTGAAAATGACTTTGATGCAAAAATTGGACTAAAAATGCAAAGTTTTTGATTTTGGGGTCAAAATTGTAAAACTCACGGAATTTGAGCCAAAAGTGTAAACTTTTTATAATTATGGGATGGAAATGACAAATACAATATTTTTGGGCTGAAATTATTATTTAAATAAAGTTTGGGTCTAAAATGACAAGAAAAACAGTTTAAGGACCAAAAATGTCAATTTTCATAAAAAGGGACTAAAAGTGCCATTTTTATAGATTAAGGGGCTGAAATGGTCAAACTAAATGTTTTTGGGCCAAGTAGACAAATATTAAATTACTAGGCTAAAAATATTAAGTTTATAACGCATGGTTATATATATATATATATATATATATATATATATATATATATATATATATATATATATATATATATATACATATACGTATAACCAAGCTTCGTTATAAATCAAACGTCAAAACATTTTAATACTTCGAATAAACATCTCACTTACTACAAACAGCTACATTACGAACTTAAGATCAATAAATTATAAATGATTCAATGGTTGGGCTCAAATATCTTCTATTCGTGCTATTGGGCCTTTATGGCCCAATATCCTGATTATTGGGCCCAATATAATCACACATGTTTATTGGGCTTCCGGTGACCCAATTACATACCCAGTAGGCCTTCATTAGCTTTAACATACTATTGGACCTTAATGGTCCACTTGTATTGCTAATAAGACCTTAAACGTTTATAATATGCTTAATGGGCTATAACGTGTCCGTAGCATACTCGACAGCCTGTAATAACATACAAAGTTAGTGGGCCTTCGTAGTCCTCTTCTCTTCGTCTGTTAGGCTTACCTTTATTCAAGTAAACATAAATCGGGTCGTGGAACAATGTTATACAATTTCTTTTGGATTTAGTGAGTAATAACGGGCGACACCAATAAGTGTCGGTCGTAGTCTGTAGTTATAATCAAAGTCTCCTGAAGGGAGAGCGAGAGTTTGTGTATAGATCTATACGGGGGTGACTCCCCCACACCTAAGTTTTGCGCTACGGTTAGACTCGGCCAGTCTAGGGTGACAAAATCTTAATTCAATATCGGCTTTCACTTGAATGCCAAGACAGACGAAATAATCATTATTATGCATGGTTATAACGACTCACATAGAGATCCTATACCATTTAAGTAATCATTGGAAATCATATTCATTCGTTGTGACGATACAATAATACAAAACGATTATACTATTTATATCGGAAAACATCGAGTTTTCCGGGGAAACGACATCATTCACTTTTACTTTCGATAACTATAATACAAGAATTCATTATGGGAAACATACTACATTTACATGCTTTGAAATCATTCACGCATATACTTATGGATCATCACACCCTTTTTCGTAAACAATTTTTGTTTCAGAAAATATCGGATTTTCTGGGTTTTACAAGCAATACAAAACATTTTCAAATCAAACCTGCTTATGAACTCACCAACATTATATATGTTGACCGTTTTCAAAATAACTTGTGTTCTCAGGTAACCGTTAGAATGAAGAATTATCAAACATGTGTCTGAATGTATTTGTGTGATGTCATTTGATAAAACAATTTATTTTTGGGATTATGTATTGTAAACAATGTACTGGATGTGAACAATGACGGTTGTAATGTATTAATGCATGGTGATGTTTATGTTATGTTTCATGTATATTCATTGTGATGATATTTCAATTTAAGTCACACGAGCCATCAGACGTTTCCGCCCGCCTGGTTCGGGGGTGTGACAGCAATGAAGAAGATGGCCACATTATCGACCCAACTCACACAAAGCAGGGGCAGGGGCATGGACAGTTGAAGACGTTGGTAGAAATAATTGTAGGTCTCTTAGTTCTTGTTTTTGTAATGGTGAAAATAGTTGTTTTTGAAGATGTAAATCATTTTGGATTGGCTTTTGGTAGAGTGTTTGGAACGATTTTAGTTGCAAATGGAAGTACAATGCTGAAATTAGCTAGTAATTGTTGTTTTGGATGACGATTTTAGATACAAATTATCTATGAAACGCACCTGGTAAACTACAATGATGAAATGGTACATAACAAACATAACAAATATCTAGTTCATAATATAGATGTAAATGGAAGTACAATGCTGAAATTGGCTAGTAACTGTTGTTTTGGATGAAGATTTTAGATACAAATTATATGTGAAATGCAAATGGTAAACTACAATGATGAAATGGTACATAACAAACATAACAAACATATGGTTCATAATATAGACGAAATTGGCTAGATGGTAAAGTACAATGTTGAAATTGGCTAATTGTAGTTACAAATGGTACATAATATAGATGCAAATGGTATGGATCAAAAAAACATAATATAAAATAACAAACATAACAAACATGTTGATCCATAACAAACATATTATAACCGTAATGGGGGGATTCATAATATAAAGTAACAAACATAACAAACATGTACCATTACAAAAGATCAACTAACATGTACCATCCATCCATTTGTACCAAATTGCCTAAAATATATCCCAAAAAGGCAACCTAAAAGGTACATGAGAACAACTGGATGAAAGGTGAACTTAGTGGGTGTATAAACTAAGATGTACAAAATGTACCAAAAAGGGCTTCCTATGCAAATGCCCAAGTATACCATCCCCACCTAAATCTCCCATATACATAACTAACTACTCCAGATTCACTGGATTTGAACATGTGGAACCACCCCCATCTTTATCAAAAACTGCCTTTTTAAGCTTTAGTTTAGTGATCCTCTCTGATGGCTTTCTTTTCCTTTTCTTAGGCAATATCAAATGGCATTCATCATCAGCCTCATTCTCATCATCAGCAACCTCATTATTTAGAACATCATCAGCAACCACATTCTCATCATTAATACCTTCACATTCACCTTCAATCGCATCACCATCATCTTGATTTTCAACACCTTCACCTTTATCATTTAGAACATCATTTAGAAAGTCAGCTTCACCTTCATCAACATCAGGCTCATCCTCATTTTAAGTCCTGATGCAAGAAATAAAAAGGTTAATAAATCACTATCTTATATAAAGGGGAAAAAAACATATATTTAAAATTACAAGGTTAATAAATTACCATCTCAACCGGTGGAGTGTCATCAAGTTCAATTTCCAACCACCCCCATGCTTTAAATTTCAGCCATGGAATATCCTGCTTCAAGTAAATCTGCTATTTCTTCAACACTTATCTTGATTTTATCTGGGAGAACATCTGATGCATGTCCTTTAGTGAATTCAGGTTCTACACCACCTTTATTCACCAATGGAACATCAGATGCATCTGATGTATTTCCATAACAAAGAATTTGATTAATTGCATCTCTAACTTCATCAAGACTCTGTTTTAGATCTTGGGCAACCTTTACTGGAACATCAACTGCTTCTTCTTCTTCTAGCACCATAATGTCATCTTCCTCTTCTATCACCTCATTCACCAACGGAACATCATTTACAGCAGGAACTTGAGCAACATTATTTGGAATATCATTAACATCTGGAACTTGGTTATTGACCAAATGAACTTGATTAACAACTGGCTTTGGCACCTTCACTGACACCTCCGTTTCTGCCTCTTCTATCACCTCATTCACCAAAGGAATATCATTAACAGCAGGAGCTTGAGCAACCTCATTTGGAATATCATTAACAATTGGAACTTGGTTGTTGACTTTATCCTAAAATTTGGTTGTTGACTTCCTACGATTTGGCCTTCTTACAACCAATTTCTTCCTTCTAACATCTGGGACAATTACTTCACTTGACTGACTACCCACAGATGCAATGTCACCAACTCTGAAACTTGGGCCTCTTAAACCTAATTTCCTTATTTTCTTGCTAGTGTTAGAACTTAAAGCATGTAGACTGTCCTGTTGACTAGGTAGAGTGGGTATAGTTGATGTCACAGGTGGTTGACTGGCATGTTGATTGGATCCAGAAACATGTGGGTTGGATCCAGCTACATCACATTTCCTAGGCCTCCCAATCTTCTTTGGTGGCATAGGAATTGGTATATTTTTTTCATTCTTGCAACCTTTTTTATTATGCCCATACTCAAGACAATTAGCACATCATACTGTCCTTGGGGGTTTCACCCTTGAAGTGGAACTAAACTTACTCTCTTTCTCACTTGTATGCCTCCTTCTCTTGGTTCTAGGCCTACCAGGCATTTTCCTACCAACAGGTGGCAAATGCTTGTTGTATCCAGTTGGAGGCCACATATTACTTCCATTCACAGGACTGATGTTTGTAGAGTAGCATTCCTTAAATTTATTCACTGAAAAATAGTCACTAATCTATTCATCTAGAGTTTGATGGATATAATTAGTGGCGGCTATGGCATGGACACAAGGGATTCTAGACAAATCCCATAATCTGTAAGAACAAACCCTACCATCCAAATCTACCTTGTAACTAGCACATGCTCTTCTCACTTCAAATACATTTCCTACGCTATGCACTACTAACCAAAGCCTACATGAAGACAAAAGAGTATGTATTAGTCATTATATATCAATTTTAATGACAGTTAGAAAAAGAAACAATTTTTTTGTGGCTTACCTAAAGTTCTTTCCAAAAAGATTCAACTTCTTAATCCCATATGGACATATATTACCTTTCCATTTACCGCATTCATCATTCATAAAGGAAAACCTATCCATGATGTATATCCTTATCTATTCAAGCTTTGTAATCAAAGGTTTTTTCCTAGATTCTACAATTATGGAGTTGAAACACTCTGAAATACCATTCTCAACTGCCTCACAAGCAAACCCTACACTCATGTAAGCTCTGCACCATGTTTTGGGTTCTTTTGACATTAGATACTCATATGCACTAGGGCTTATAGTCTTTATTTTTTTCCATGTTTCTCAAGAAGTCACCTTCAACACAACTCATTGCACAAGCCCAAAACAACTTCTTCAACTCCAATCCAGAGAAAGCTATATTAAAATTTGCATAAATGTGTCTAGCACATTGCCTGTGCTCCACATGTGGCAAAATAAACTTAATAGATTCAATCAAACCCTGTGAACAAACATATTATCTTAGCATTTATAACCATATTGAAATAATCAAATTGAAATACACTATGATTATAAGGGAACTTACTTTCTATTGATCAGAAATAACAACCAAATCTGCACCAGTACCAAGGTCAAGATCATCCTTCAGAAGCTCCAGAAACCAGGTCCAATTATCCTTGTTTTCCACATCAACAACAACCCAAGATATTGGGAACACCTGGTTATTAGCATCTCTACCTATGGCTGTGAGTAATTCACCTTTTACCTGACCCTTTAGGAAGCACCCTTCCAACCATATTACCTTCCTACACCGTATTTTCCAGCAAACACTTAAAGATTTGAAACACATGTAAGACCTTTTAAAATAATTATTCTCATCTGGATTGTTAGTAACACCAACTTTGCATGTAGACCCAGGGTTTGATCTCAACAACTCTTGGGCATAATCCCAAATTCTTGCATAGTGTTCATTTAATTTACCACCAATCAGTTCTTTTGCCCACTGTTTTGCCCTTCTAACCTATCCTATAGATACCACACATCTATACCTTTGTTTGATGTCACTGATCATCTCCCTAAGTTTAAATTTGGACTTATTTGCTATCTCAGTAACATGGTGTCTTCCAATCCATTCCGGGGTAACAATAGACCCAAATTTAAACACTCTAGAACAAAGATGCTCATAATTCATTGCCTTAACCTGGAAGGTTCTATCATTGTACATCCAAGCTGCATAAAGTCTAAAAGGGCATTTATTATCTTCATGTCTCTTACCACATCTTGCAACAATTCTTCTATTGTTACTCTTTTGAAAGTATATTTGGTACCCTCCATTTACTGCATAGTTTGTCACACAAAATTTCAGTTGTGCAGGTGATTCGAACACGTCCCCTAACTTAGGTTCCATCTTATCTCACCTAACATTTGGATCATGTATTATGTAGTTGTTCATCACTTCTTCCTCTGCCTCCTCATCGTTTTGCAAATCATTACCATGGTCCACTCGATCTTTCACCTCATCAGTCATACTTGCATTTTTGATGTTCGCATCACAAAGTAGAATGTTAAGAAAATGATCCTTACATTTATCAAGCCTTGATACAAACTCCTGTCGTGGTTCATGATCCATGTAAATCCCATGCAGCTCAAAATCCATCTCATTTAACCCAGAAAATGCCTCGTAAATTCCAGCAAATGGGTCGTCGTAATCATCGTCTGAAGAACCCATTTCTAACCCCTGCACAATCGCAACCATTATCATGAAAAGTAAGCAATTAACGGAGATGATTTCTCGTAAAAACCATGATCAGACCATAAATTCTTACCTCTTGAAAAAACCCTAGCTTCAGACAACGAGAATGCTTCACCCAATGGAGTTTAACGTTTGAGTTCCTATTACCTACGTCTGAAGAAGTAGTAGCATGGGAGGGTGGCAGGGTGTGTGTCTCAATGTTGAAAGAGTGTTAACGGAGGAGAAACGGAGGAGAGGGGATTAACAAGGTTATCAGTTGCAAATGGGGATGTAACCGGTTGGTAAAGGGGAACCGGTGAAAAACATTAAAATGAAACATGAGGGGCAAATGTTAGGCATTTGTGGGAAACAAAATCAATTTTGGGCATAACCGGTTTTTTATGTAAATTTGGGGGCTTTTATGACAAAAACCCTATATAAATTGAGGGTTTGATCACTTTATGAATTGCAAGAAATAAATTCCAAATTTACTACTTACATGGTATTAGAGCGTTTAATTAGATGTTAGTATATTTTGAGCTTATATCCTGTAAGTACGTGAAGTAAAGAGTTGTACCATGTGAGTACAAACTTCGTGAGGTAGTACCATGTGAGTACATGCATCAAAAGGTTGTACCCTGTGAGTATAAGTGCGTTCAGATCTGTTATCAAGACGAGCACCGACTTTGAGAACTAATTTCTTCTTACCGCCATCACCATAATCTTCAGAAGAGTCCAGTTAAGAAACCTAAAAAAATCGACAACATTTCGACCACCAGATGCTCTCCACGCGCCGCCACTAAATTTTAACATTCGTCCGCGTGGAGCCTCTTTTCGTCACCAGATATTTAGGGCCATCATCATTTTTGGATTTCGACTTCAACACCAGTTTTTATTTCACTATTCAAGTTATTTTAGGTTCGTATTTTACTGTTTATATTGTATTCACTGTTCATATGGTATTTACTGTTCACATGGTATTGTCCATGTTATTTTTTGTTGGTATTTCATTGATTCAAGTTGTTTGGAGATCGTATTTCACCTTTCAACATATTTTTGGGTGTATTTTACTATTCATACGTATTTTTTTAGAATTTTACTATTCACCTGACGAGTGATGTTTACACGTTACCAATTTTGGGGTTTTCTGATCACAACACCTTGTGAGTGTGTTGTGTTATCAATTTAATTTTATATTGAGTTGCAATTCGGGCACCTTGTGAGTGTGTTGTGTTATCAATTTAATTTTATATTGAGTTGCAATTCGGGCACCTTGTGAGTGCATTGTTTTCCGAGATCCCCAAAGAGATAAAAAAAATGACTAAGGGTGATCAAGAAATTTGTGTTTGTGATTCAGATAATAAAACCAGGATTCCTACTTCTAGTTTTGGGTTTGTTACTATATCTACAGAAGAGTATATATATATATATATATATATATATATATATATATAATGGTACTTCATGAATCTTTCATTACTCACTGGCATTTATATATATATATATATATATATATATATATATATATATATATATATATATATATATATATAGAGAGAGAGAGAGAGAGAGAGAGATAGGTTCAGGTATTCTAACTAATTATTGTGTGGATGTATAGTTGATTGTGGACCAATCAAAATTTAAAAAATAAATAAATAATCAAACACATAAATGAGGGTAATTTATTAATTTGCTAAATAATTTATACAAATATACTCCTATAATTATGGTAATTACTTTGACCTACATTTATCCCTTTTTAAAACAATCAACAATCACTGTATTCTATCCCATTCAAAATTACCGATGATCCTCACTAACCCTAGTTCCAAAACAGATAAAATATACCACGACAAGTTGAAGTGCGAGACAGAGCGAACGCCCGCCATCTCCATTCCCCTCATATATCCCTCTTATCATATTCAGTGGCTCTTCATCTCCTTCAACTTATATCGTCGTCGGAGCTGCTTTTGTTGTCAATGTCTTCCCCTTCACCTCTTCATCCCCGTCATCCAGCAACATAAAACCTAGAACTCACTCAATGGCGGAGGGAGAGGTATTACAGACGGAGAGTTCCATCGACCAACGCCCAAAGAAGATCGCCACCATCGATCAACCCAACTTCCTTCTCCTTCTTCTTCACCGTCGGCCACTTTTGCCTCCTTCCTATCACCATAGATTGGGTTTTTTCTGGTGATTCTGGATTGTTTAGAGTTGCTAGGAATCTGTAAACTGATTTCCTTTATTGAATATTTGTCGATTTTGGGTTTTAGTTGACTGAAGATTGGAGGGAGACATTGTTTTTTGCATTGAGCAAAGCAGGTGGAAAAGCTTTCAGCAACATGGCTGTGGGTTACAACAATGTTGATGTCAATGCAACAACCAAGTACGGTATTGCTGTTGGAAGCACTCCTGTGAGTATATATATATATATATATATATATATATATATATATATATATATATATATATATATATATATATATATTCATATTCGAAAAAATTATATGAAAGGGATTTCGTGTGTAGTTATGATGATTGATATTGAATTATATATACATATAATGCTTATATACTTATATAAAAAAATATCTACAATTGCTTGAGTTCTTATAAAAGTGCAATTCGTTTAATTACTTGGATATTAGTATAATTTCATGAAAAATATATATATATATATATATATATATATATATATATATATATATAGAGAGAGAGAGAGAGAGAGAGAGAGAGAGTGAGTTTCAATATAGAACCATAATTAACCAAGGAACCAATCGTGAGCGTCGGAAATCATAACGATCAACGGCCAAGGAAATAGATGTACACTTTTACATTGGACGCACACACACCGGATTATACCAAAAAATCCACCATTTACAAAAAAAACTCACCACTTTTTTTCGTTTAAAATTTTTTGTAGGCCATGTTTTTTATCGAAAAAAAAACCGAATATACCGTTGTTCACGATTTTTCGTCCTCTTTCCATAGAGATCCATTATGATATATATAAAAACGAACTTTTTTTTTCGAAAAAAAAACTCACTTCATTTTCTTTGATGAAAAAAATTAATGTCTATTTTTTATAGAAAAAAAATTAATAAATATATCAAAATTCATATTTTTTGTACTTTTTAAACATAGATTCATAGTCATGTTAAAAAAAAACGATATTTCAGTTCAGATTCACATTGTGAACCTATTCAGATTCATATTGTGAACCTCCTCAGATTCACAGTGTGCATAATAATAAATCAGATTCACAGTGTGAATCTGAACTGATCGGAGCCTTTTCACATTGTGAATGTTAAAAATTGAAATATTTACAGTTTAGATTCACAGTGTGAATCTACACTGATCGAGTTTTTTTTTTTTTTTTTTTTTTTTTTTTTTTTTTTGTGAACCTTCTTAGATTCACAGTGTGCATAATAATAATTAAGATTTACAATGTGAATCTGAAGTGTTCGAGATTTTTCATATTGTGAATGTTAAATATTGAAATATTTACAGTTTAGATTCACAGTGTGAATCTACACTGTTTCAGGTTTTTTTTTAATAGGTGTTGATGTTTATTAATAGAGTGCAAAAAATTAATATTTTTGGTATAATTAGTTTTTTTTTTTGATAAAAATAAACTTAAATATTGAAAAAACTAAAAAAATTAAGTGAGTTTTTTTCGAAAAAAAAAAGTTCGTTTTTTATATATCATCATAGATCTCTATGGAAAGAGGACGAAAATTCGTGAACAACGGTATATTCGTTTTTTTTTTCGATAAAAAACTTGGCCTAAAAAAGTTTTTAAATGAAAAAAAGGAAGTTAGTTTTGTTATAATCCGGTACATGTGCGTCCATTAGAAAATTTTACAACCCTTCATTTTGCCGTTGATCGCTTTAAATTCCAACGCTTTTGATTGGTTTATTGATTAATAATGGACTAATGGTTCTCTATTGAACTTTTTTTTTTTCAATCTCTCTCTCTCTCTCTATATATATATATATATATATATATATATATATATATATATATATATATATATATATTAAATACATGAAGTGTACTATTATATGTATATAGTTACATATATAATATTTTAATAAAAATGTCATTGTTTTCTATTGTCTATATTCACAATAAACGAAATTTAACGTCTAACGTCTTGTAATATTTTATATGTGTCCATTGTTCTAGTTAATTCCTAGAGTGTAACCGAAAATGATTTCCTATACATGGAAGTTTTGCGATATATTCATTTAGTTCGTTTAATTCGAGTTCTGTTTTAATCGTCTCTACTTGTTTGATTTCGTTTCATGTTAAAATATTATAAACTAGAAATCAAATACCGGTCTAACTTAAGTATAAATGGATTTAATCGCAAATAGATAAAACAATGACTTAAATTGTTTATAATAACACCGGTAAATACACAATAGCTTCTATTATGACAATATTCGTGGTGATTGACCGACAAATCTTGGACTGATTTTTGTCAATTGTTACACCGTTCCTATCTTACACACGCATATACTGAATGAGACTATCCAATATCAAATTTAATTGAACTAGGTATCTATAATAAATTTTATCTTTATTAACGGGAATAACTATTAAACTCCCAATACCAACTCTGTCTAGATAACATTATCCTATCTTAGTGTATATATATTTAGCACATAGTATTTTAGGCATTATTACATATTTATTATTTTCTCTAATAATATTTCTATTATTGATAATAGATATATATCATTTAACATATATAGAATCATATTCCATTCACATATAATATATCGTCAAATACATTTCTAACACATAAACCAGACAATGAGCATATAGCTCAAATATGGACTTTCTAATAGATATTTAATACCTAAATAAATACTTGTATTAAAATCATGTTTATGAAAGAGACTATGCACCCACTTGTAAATGTGGATGCCTCGAAATTTGGACAGAACTTTGTCTTGGTACTTTAGCTTTTCCTTCGATGTGAGCTAGTATGATGAGTACTATGTCTTAGTCTAATACTCTTGGTGACTAATGATAGTCTAGATTCCTCACTAATCCCAATGTATACATCAAGATCTATCAAGTAAGGAACAACCAGGTAAGATCATATCGGAGGTAGGGTCCGTTTGGTATATAAAGTATATTGTTTGTAAATATCACTTTAAACACCTCACTAAATACAACCTAGATATCATCCCCATAAGTAGATCAATCGGTATAATGACTTGGAATTACTGATAAATCTTATTTATAGGTTCATAATAACGACTTATGATTATAAATATAAGTTACACTGAAAGCAAAAGAGTGTAGCTTAACTTACAGATGTTTTACTGAAAACCGGAAAATTACGCGGGAAGAATTATGAAACTGAAAGCTCTAGTTCACTGGGCTTTATGGTGCTCCAGATCCTCGATACTAGCTCCTAAAAATCCTAAACTTGGGCCTCAAGAGTGGGGAAAAATTTGAGAGAAAGAGACAGTGTTATGAAGAAGTTGTGAGAAATGAAAGGGATTTTCGAAACTATTTATAGGGGTTTCAGGAGGGTCTACACCCTGCATAATAAAGTGCTATGCCCTGCGTATCAAGGATGCATCCGGTGCTTACACGTGTTGAAAAAGTGGTGGTCCACGCCTCACCTTCTATAAGTGTGCGTGTCGCGCCTTGTTACGCGTGGCGCACTCGGGAAAACTTCAAAAATTCGCAACTTCTTCATATGAACTCTGTTTTGATGTTTTTATATCCATGTGTAGCTATCGACGATATCTACAACTTTCATTTAGACTCTATCGGCTAATTCTCACTTTATTTATAATTTGTTATTTTAGAAGGCTTATACTGCTAATCTCCATTAAAATTCATATCTTTTTCATATGACATCCGTTCTTGACTATCTTTACATCAACATGCTTCTATTAAAGATATCTTCGACTCTCACTTAGATTATTTCGGCTAATAATCAACCGATCTAAAACTCGATTTCTGTGCTAACATAATTGCGCTGAAACTTCGAAAAATTATAACTTCATCATATGAAGTCAGATTTGGACATTCTCTATATTCACACTATTAGTTTAATGACTACTATGAATTCATTTAGATCTCTTACGCTAAAAAGTAATTTATGAAAAATTCACTTTTTACGATACGTAGAGTCGTGTCGGTTTAATCGTGAAACTTCGAAGAAGCATAACTTCTTCATACGAAGTCAGATTTCAATGTTCTTTATATGTACGAAAATTTTGTCACATATACTATAACTTTGGTTAAGATTATTTATATTAAATAATCTTCTATCAAAAAGTCATCTTTAACGCTTATTATATATTAATTTGAATAGCCCGAATCTGCATGTGTTACAATATCTGTAATACGTTAATAAAATTATGTATATTTTTTTTAATATAGTATGTTCTCAGAATGTGTAGTTGACAGAAACAATCGTTCAAGAAGCAAAAGGGAATTGAATTCATATATAAAAGCAAGATTGATATTTAATTCACTAAGAATCTATAGCTGAAAGAAACAGTCATAATAAAAAACTAAATCATGGAAAACTCCTCGTATCAAACCATAACATACACACACTTACAAATTAACACATTTACACAAACAAAAAAGTACAATGTCATTATAATACATTTAGAAACATGTTGTGATTGAAGATGAACTAACCTAATTTTTCTTTGGTCTCTCTATTGTAGAATCAATAGTGATGGATGATGCGAAAGCAAAATAACGTATTTCGAATTAAAATAAAGAGTTGTGACGTGTATTTGATATGTAGTTTAAATGGAGGATCAACTAAAGAAGGTAATTACCATAATGTATCCCTGAATTCTTGAGATACATCAGAAACCTGAGAGATTTAATATGATTTTGAATTGATAGATACCATATACTTCGAAATTGTTATTAGGATAGTATTTTCTATTTTCAAAATTTAAACTAAAATTGGCTTGTTTAAAAAGAAAGCAGAAAATGGTAGATAAGCATCACGTGTCAAATAAGCATGCTAGAAAATAGACATGTGATATTTTTAGGTTTCATTTATTTGGATAGGTAGATAGGTAGATTTAAATTACAAAATGTTTTGAATTTGTTATTTTTTATTGAGTAAATTGTAAAACTGGTTTATGTGGTTTATCAAAAAGTATAGTTTGAGTCCATTTCCTTGTCGTATGATCAATCTAAAAATAAAACTTTTGTGCAAATTTGGCCCCTCGAAAATTTGAATGCACTTGAAAAGACTATTTTGCTCTTCCGGTTTCATCCCCTCTCTCTCTCTCTCTCTCTGTCTATCTCTCTCCCCCCCTCTCTCCCTATCTCTCTCTCTTTCCCCCTCTTTCTCTCTATCTCTCTCTCTCTCTCCCTCTCTCTCCAGCTTGAGCAACATCGTCGTCGGCTACTATTGTCTACCTCCGTCCAGATCCACCATTGCCTACCTTCATACAGACCCGTTAAGATCCACCGTCGTCCATTTCCTCCGTTAAACAGATCTACAAAAATTGGCGAACACACTCTTTCTCCTAGAGTCGACTGTAACACTGGGTTATCCCTTTGATCTAGGACCTCGAATAGGGAGGTTCAGATCGGCGCGTGTGTTTCTTCTCCACAGAATTAGGTGCCAGATAATGTTAGGGTTCTGACATTTAGCTAGTTATAGTGGCACCATGTTCTTCGAGTTACGACGTCAGAGTTCCAGATCCAAATAAGATGACTATTCGTTGACGTTCCAACAGTGGCGGTGGTTCCAAATTTGTCAATAATGGTGGCAATTTGTTAATGGTCCATATCCAACGACACTCCTCCTTAATGGTGCTGGTGAAGGTTGTTGGAGTAGGTGACGACTTTGGTGGTTTCCAGGGGCGCATCATTATACGGGCCAGCAGGGGTTGTGCCCCCCCCCCCCCCCCAATTTTTATTATTAGAATAGTCAATAGCCTTTTTTTAAGGCTTAAATATTTACTGTTTGGGCTATGCCCCCCCTGTTCTCTCCAATAGTCGTATCATATGAATAAAATTCAAACGATCGTTAATACGTCAACAATCATCACCCTTGTTAGTTATCCCTCTAAGGTTCTAACCCTCGCTCCATCAGACCATTCCTCGCCAATTGCCAATTCGCTGATCAGTGAGCACCGCTCCGCCGTCCACTCCCCGCTGGAATCAATCAACCATCAGGTATGTTCTCACTTCTTATTTCACCTTGTTTCTCTATGATCTCTTCTCATGTTTAGTGTTATGTGTGTGTTCTCCATTGGACAAAAATGTCAAACAGGTCCCCTGATTTTTATCTCCTAATCTCCATAAATCATAATGATTGATGATTGATTTATTTCAGAATGTTAGATAAATTGTTACATACAGTTTGTAGAATTTAGGAGCACTTTTAGATAAATTGTTGCAAATTTATGCTCATGATAGATGAATATTGCCGAATTTAGGTTAGAGCATTGTTATGTTAGATAAATTGTTGCAGACTTGCATACTTTAGCTTGTTGTTTCATGAATCATGAGTTGGTGATTTCAATTATGATTTTTATAGATACAATCGTACAAATCATGAGAAATACGAGCTTATATGACCTTATGACCTTTCCAAATTTGTGTTAAAAAGTATCTTGCTTAACACATTTGATTGTACTCATGTTTTTCTTCAAGGAATTGTAACGTCGTGATTTTTACACATTTTTTATTATTTAAAACCATTTAACAGAAAATCAACAAAAGACTTTAACTATTTATTTAAAAAAACATTTCCAAACAAACCGCACGGTACCAACTTTCAAAAGTAAACATCAAATTGTTATATTGTTGTGGAAGTAAATACTTGAGTAAAATAACACGTGTCCAAGTGGCATATTTATTAAAAACTAACTATCCAATAAGAGACCCAATCTCACCAAACCATTCTCCTAAGCTACCTGCATCGATCATAAATGCATATAACAAAGGAAAAAGTTTCAACAATTGCTTTGTGATTCAACAAGCTGTACACAAGGGAAAATACACAATCCCTTTATGGGTCATCCATGCATATCATGATAATAAAACAACCAAATAGAATGCAAAATCCAGCTTTATATCATGAGGCATTTCAACCGTATTTTACACTAAGTCATTTTCATCTCAACATAACCAATCATAGTTACCAACTTTATTCAATCGATTATTCCATATTGTTTAACTCAATTGTTTATTATATGTAATTTCAATTCAACTAGCTATCTACTTTGGCGTTTCTTAATGAGAACCTACACAACAACTTAACCGTGCTCACTACCTGTGTGCTTAACCAGTTTAGTGTTCTAAGTGGCTCATGACTTCCATCCGAGTTCACCAACCCCAAGACTTCCACTTTCACTACTCCGACTTGCAAAGTACAAGTACTTCACGGTGTCTGATGGGTGTCGAAACCATCAAACAATAAGTCCTATCTGCACTTATATGATTTAAAAATAATAGTAATAATGACAAACATGGTCGATTCTCAGAGACTTGGTTTTATCAATAAATATACCAAAATAGTCATGGTTTTATTCAAATGCATAAAACGAAAATATGATGGGGGAATTTGAAAACAAGTAAACTAAAAAGGGAATACAATAAAAGAACTACTAAAAATAAAATTAAAAACAATCCTGTTAGAGTTCTATTCACCTAATGATGCAAGTTAATGATAAATTGATGTCAAATTAAATTCTAATATAAGTTGGTACTTGAAAACATTAACAAGCTAAAACACGTCCCATTCACCAAACTGTTTAACCAAAACAAACTCTTATAATTAATCTGGAAGATTGCATTAAGTTTTGTGTGAATGCTCCCAACAACATCCAATACTCCTCACAAGCTTGGGAGCGTAAGAATGTACAATTATAGTTTACACCAAAGTTACTTTTATAACAAAACTAATTTGATGTTGTCACTTAATATCAATTTCACAAAACAATTACATAATTCATAAAATTAAATGACAAGAATGACCTAATTCTAATTCAAATAGCCACCACAAACTATAATCACAGTCAAACTATTTGTTAAAACAAAACTAAAATTGCTAGATAGATAATGACTTACCCCTCGAATTTTAAAAAAGAAAATCATGTCCAAAGAAAGCAAGTATTAAAAAAAATGCAACAAAATAGCTATCGATAAACTAAAAACAATTAAATAAATAACAACCAAAACTCGTTTTAATGATGGCTTTTATACCAGTAATAAGAAAATCAGATAAATAATAGATAGTTGAACGTTTAACATATAGGTCTAACTAATTTTTGTTTGAGCATATTTCAAAAAAATAAAATTTAAGGATCTAAATTATAATTTATTAACCAAAATAGGTTATCATCTATCTAAAACAAAAAAAATCTTAACTTATTATTATTAGTAAGTGGATTTATGAATTCAAATTCCCACTAACTAATAGACAATCTTTGTCATTTATTATCACATTTATTTTATTTAATACTTTACATATATAAATATTAGTATTATGTGGCATTTTACTTTATAAAAATTGAAAAAAAAACATAAATTGACATGTCGATATTATTTATTTAGAAAATACAATAAAATGACACGTGTCAAAACTTATAAGAAAGTGAATGACAAAATGATATTGATTTATTATAGTAGATAAAATAGAAAATGAAATCCACCATGATTAAAGATTAAGGAATTAGGAACCCACCACTATGATCTATAAATGAGATTAATCTAAAGTAGGGATGAACATGGTACCAAACCAGTATTGACCCAAGAATACCGAATACCAAAATGGATGAAAAAACAATACCGATTACCAAGCCAAACTAACGTTACCGTTACCGACTGAATTGAATCCCTGATTTCATAATTTTGTAGTACAAGTGTTTTTCCATATTAACACAAACAATACTGGTTTGGTACCGATACATATAAGAAATTTCGATAGTCTTGCTTACACCCATAATCTAAAGATCAAAAAGAAAAGGTACACTTAACACTACCACAATTAGATAAAACGATGTTGTTATTGCAGCCTTAGAGCAACAAAACAAAGACATCCTTTTTTTTATCAAAAGGTTAGCAACTATAAGTGAAAATAATCAACTTGTCTTTTTATAATTACTGTTTTCCCTACAAAATACCAGTGGAATGGATAATACATTAACACCAATCTCCAAAATATTTAAAAGACAAATTAACTAAAATCACACATATATTTATACATGCACACCAATCTCCAAAATAATTAAAAGACAATTTAACTGCAATCACACGTATATTTATACATGTGCATGTGCATGTGATTAGTTTCATAGGAAGCATGCAAATTACTAAAGTGGCCTTCGGCCAAATTTTGAAGCAAAGTAAATATTTTATTGAAAGGGAAATTGACTTATAAGGGTAATTATATATTTTTTTTCTTTATATATGAATAACTTCGTTTTTTTACACATCTAGGTAATGAATTTTTTGGAAGTGTTCACATATGACTATTATGACCGGTTGTACAACCGATCATAATAGTCATATGTAAACACTTCAAACAAATTCGTTACCTAGATATGCACACGAAGATTATCTTGATAAGTCAATTTCCCTTGTTGAAACAAGGATTACCCATTAACTTTACATTAACTTTTCAAAATATGATAAAACAAATATTAATTGGTTTGCATCTATATTTTTGTTTGAGTGAGTGTAGCCCTCGTATACAAACATATCACAATCTTAAAAAACACATAGAAGTATATATTTTCTAATTATTAAGTCATTTTTACAGCAACTACATAATAAAATATCCTTTTCAAATGCAATGTTGTTATTTGTTATTGGGATGAAATATTTTGAGAAGGGCATATAAAAGAAATAAAGGTAAGGAGAGGGGGCGATATTTGAAATTATCGCAGTCGGTAGGATCGAGATTCCACCATTATTCGGATCACGGAAGTAAGGAGAAGAAACTCATAAATTGGGCACTCTAATGCAATTTTGTTATGCGATTGACCCTAACGAAATTACAACCTTCCTTCGCTAAAATTTCATGTCCATCTTGCCCTCTCAAAATCTTGGTTCATCGTCATCTTCATCTAATCTTCACGCTCAAAACCCTAATCCCAATCATGGATTCAATCTCCCACAACCCGACTCTCCTTCCCAACCAACTCACACCCTTCAATCACTCCGAATCTCCGGTCCTGTCGATATGCCTGATAAACTCACAGGTTCACCATCCTATTTCCACCTCTCTAATCTTGTATATTCATTCTTGTACGACTTCGGAACCCTAGAATTTCTATCTCCAAAACTTTAATTTTGGGGCCACCATTACGCTAATGTCATTGTTGTGTGAAAGTTATTATCTTCTTGAATTAACATCTGTTATAATGTGTTTGGGGTTCTGGGTCTATTAGTTTTTACTGCAAAATTGGTTCCTTGTAACAGATTATCGTAATTCTTTTTTGACTTTTTCAGCAGAACCGACTGCTCCAACACCGAAAACTTCTGGTGGATCTTCCAAAAAGGTAAACTTTCTGGGCGCCATTGATGACCAGGACTATAGCTATATGCTTTTTTTTTTACTTATAATAGTAACTCGTTCATCACTACAGGTGAAAGAAGACCACAAAGTAAATGGCAAAAAGATCCTGGACCACCAAAAATCTGGCCAATCTAGTGTTGGGTCTTCTCAACACAAAGGCTCCCCTGGAAGCCAGCAGAGATCTCGTTATAATCATCAAGGGGGCACTCAGACATCATCAGGGAGAAAAACACAGGCAGTTAATGGTAATCATTTGCTGAATTTTCACTATGATCCCATTACTCGTCCACAAGCAAGGGCTAATCCTCCAAGAAAATTACCAAAGAGAAAGCCTTACAACAAAGACTTATTTCTCCAAGCAAATTATAAGTTTGTCTTGTTGGATTCTGGCAATCATGCTCCTGAGTCAATGGATCCAGATAAGATGTTGCAGTGGGAAGATATCATATGTGTAAAGTACTTCACTCCTCATCCCACAAACTGTCCAATATGTTTGGAAGAACTTTTGTGTCCTCAGATGACATCATGTGGCCATATCTTCTGTTTCCCGTGTATATTAAGATACTTTTTGATGGGAGAAGATGATCATAAACGTGAGTCTTGGAAGAAGTGTCCCTTATGTTTCATGATGATATCTTCAAAAGACTTGTACACCATCTACATTGAGAATGTCAAGCAGCATTGTGTTGGTGATACCATTGAATTTATGCTTTTAACCCGCGATAAAGATTCTTTAACACTAAATGCAAAACAGAAAGGAGGGGTCAATTCATATGACTCCTTTTCAAAGTTCACTTTTACAGTAGATGTTGAACTTTCAGTTAGGAAAGCAATGTCAGAGCTTGATAGTTGGCTTGCTAGAGCAGAATCAGGGCTTGTTGATGACCTGGAAAAGCTTCCATATGTTTGTGCTGCAATGGAACAATTGGAAGAAAGAAAGAAATATTGGAAGGAACATAGGGATCTTGATGGGGTCAACTCTTGTAATAATGAATCTTTTCACTCGGGTTCTCCACCAAGTTTGAATTTTGGTGTGGGTGTTAATGGTTCAGTTATGTCTGAAGAACTTTCTGTTAGTAGGTTGAAGTTGGTTAATGTTAATGAACCTATATTGAATCAAACTGCTGATGTGGATGAACCATATGATGGTCAAGATGAAGCTTTATCTTCTTCCTATGAGGATAGCAAGGGTATACAATTGCCTTCTTATGGTTTTGCAGATAAGAAGATCAAGGGATCATATGATTTCTATCAGGTAACTTTTATGAGCATCTTATTTGTAGTGCATTCCCTGTCCCTGACAAGCTTCCCTTTAGGTTTAGATTGTATACATGTAAAGCCATGTAGCTACATAAGTACAAAACAATCCCTCTCATATTTGCATCCTAAGATTGATAAGAGTAAACCTTTATTATCATAAAGTTATGTAATTTATAACCTTATGTCTGCCTGAAGTGTAGTAACATTAATTTCTTACTCTCTGTTTCTTTGCAGGCGGCTGATGGTCAACACCTTATACTCCATCCTTTAAACATGAAGTGTCTTCTTCATCATTATGGAACATATGATAATCTTCCTCAAAGGTTGGAGTTTTCATAGATATTTATGCATCAAATTCTGCATCTGTTTCTTTTTCTTTTTGAAACTTAAATTCACAAAATTGCAGGATTAGTGGTAAGATATTGCAATTGGAGAGTGTTACACAGTCAGAAGCCATGAGGAGGCGGTATCGCTACTTGAGCCATTTTTCTTTAACAACCACGTTTCAGGTACGCTTCAAAGCTTGCTTAAATAAAGAAAATATATATATATATATATATATATATATATGCAACAAATGTCATTCTTCTGTGATGATTTTGTCTTACTGTTGGTGCTCATATTTTTCAGCTGTGTGAAATTGATCTCACTGGGATTTTGCCTCCGAGTTCTCTTTCTCCATTTGAGGATGAACTGAAAAATAGGGAAAAGCAGAGGAAGCGCGTTGCCAGAAAGGTGTCTATGTGCTCTTTTATCCTTTTATAACTTTGTGTCATTTATTTATTGCTTTAATACACACAATATACTATATATAATTTTGTTTGTTATGCGGATGATGAGGGCATTTATGTCTTTTGAATCACTCCCGGTGAATCCAATGAATTCCAAAATGCAGTACAATCTAAAGGGGCTTGATCTTGAAGAACCAATACTTTAAAAGTTAAAAAGGATGTAAAAAGGGTGATAACTTGTTTTACACTTTGATAAGTGATAACAGTTTGTGATGTTTTACTTACTTGAAGGAGGAAGAGGAGAAAATGAAGGCGGAAGCTGCAGCAACAGCTACACATTATGTGGCCATTCCTTTTGATGCACACTCTTGCTTTGATCATTCTCCTGCGTTCTCTTTGGATGACTTTGAAGGTACTATCTATCTATCTATCTATAAATGTTGACTTATTTCTTGAAAAGAGTCAAAGAGTCAGCACTCACTCACATCACATGTTAGAGTTAGACAACATGCTGTTTGTTGACTTGTGGCACAATCAACAAACTTAAAGTAGTGCCAATATCTTTAAAATTGTGTTATTGAAAGTATAGTATATTAGTATGAATTTAGTCATGATCTAAATGTTTGTTTGGTTTGAACTTTGAAGCTCTGGGAAGCTCTTCTGTAAGTGTAACACCAACACCATCATCAAGTAGTCCTCCAGCTGCAGTGGATAGGGATAGGCCCCTGTTTTCAAATGTTGCTAGGCTTGGTTTTGCAGCAGCACATGATTCTCCTAATCTTCTAAGAACAGCAGAGGAAACTGCTTCTTCAACTGGTAAGCCTTGAAACTGTTTGTTGCACATGCACATCTCTCTTTCTTTCTTTCTTTAAGTTCTATTGGATTGTGATGAAGAACGTGAAATAGATATAACAAAAGAGAAAGAACAATCTAGGGAAGAAGGTGATAATATAAACTAGATAGATGGAGATAATAAAAAGAAAGATGAATTGTAATGGCAGATATGAATGAAAAGGATGAAGATCACTAAACGATTTACTCAATCAGTCAAATGATTGCCCAGGGATACCCCTCTCTCTTTTAGCACAATGCTCAGGAGCCAATACAAATCCAAACAAATATCTTCACCCCCTAAAAGATTTATATTACCCTCACACCATAACCGACTCTACCCTTCCCCCCCCAATTCTAGACTTAACATGTAACAATTCTGGTTGATCTTTTATAATTGGTATATTAGCAATCTCATCAGATAGTGTTTGGTATGATGGATGGAATTGGAATTAAAAAGAAGTGTTTATTTTGGCCAATGGAATGGAATGGACCATTCTTGAACGAATGTGATTCCTTCCAATTTGTTAATCTAATCATGGAATGGAATAATAAAATAAAATAAACCCCATTTTTTATTTATGTAATAAACACATCTTTTGTAAAAGCAATTACGATTTTTAGTTAAATTATGCTAATGACTCATTCCATTCCTTTAGATGTGTTTCTGAAAGTAGAATGCTATAATTTATCATACAGGCTTGCCAATAGGAGGTGCATCATCTTTTGCAAATGTTATATCAAGGGCAAAACCAGTTGAAAGCAACAAGGGAAATGAGATGGGGAAGAAAGGAAAGAAGGCAAGTAGAGTCCTGTTATCAACTTCGGGTGCTCGTCGTTATTAAATATAATATTGATCGCATGTTGGAATTTTAGGGAATTCAATATCCTACTCTAAAAAAATTAAAAGAAAAAGGCAATTAATTGAGATTTTGTTACGCGGTTTGGTGTCATGGGTATTGTTGCAAAAATGAAACAATCTACGTTTGTTTTGTTGTAGTAAACTATGCTATATGCTATTCTATCAATCTTGTAAGTTGTAAGACATTCATGAATTGCTATAGTAAAGTAGTAATTGTTTTTATTTGTAAGTAGAAATGTAGAATGCTTGATGCCATTGCTTTAGTTGATTTGTCCATAAATGAAATAGGGTTTAACAACCCCCCAACAATTACCAGCAAACCACTGGCTAATACATTGGCAAAGCTTTCATGCTATCCATAAATCTTTTAAAAATGGGTTTCAAATATATAAAAAAATAATGAGTTATTGTTGCTGTAGCCCAAAAAACTTTAGTATATTGGTTTAAACGGTCTCTCGTAACTATTTTTTTTCATTTGAAGAGCACGAACTACTGTTTTAAAAGGTCATTTTGGAAAATTTGAAGGGTCATCCGATGACACCCATCCTAATCAAATGTTTGCCAATGCAATGTAATTGTTGTGTAGATAAAACAATTCTAGCTCATTTGCGAAGTTGGTGCGAGTAAATGACCTAATAAACGTTTCAACTTTTTCCTCAACCGTCCCTTTTGTCGTCTTTCTTATGCTACTTTTTTCTCCCGATTCTTTGTGCAACTGTTCTTGGCAAAAATCCTTTTCTTCGTTAAAATCGGGCAAGTGGATCGTTGCTATGGCCGTTTACATGAAGATTGATCTACATTTTGCCAAAAATTTTACGAGGTCCTCCGTTATTACTTACACAGATGGAGCGGAGCAAGACTTTGATGATGTCGATTTTGCTGGAATGGACACGAACGAATTTGTGGAGTTCCTTCAAAGATTCGCGAATGAGTTATGCATGGATGTTTATTTTTGCATGCCCGATATTGAGTTCGCTGATGGATTGAGGATAATGGCTACTGACATGGACTACATGGAATTCATCGAAGTATGGTATGCTTCTGGTTGTGTAATTCTTGTATACATCGATCATCTTAGTGTTAACGTACATCAATGGATTCTTGACGAGCAAGTTGAAGTATGCAGTGCTTTAGACGAATTGTTCGGTGTAAATGAAGTTTATGAAGAAGTGCAAGGTGGTATGGATGTTGGCATTGAAATGGATGATTTGCAAGGTGATATGGAGGATTTGCAGTTGAGAGAGATGATTTGCAAGGAGATATGGAAGATTTGCAAGGTGCTAGGGATGATTTGCAAGGTGAGCAAGATGATAGCATTGACATGGAAGTTGACACTGAAGCTGATGAGTGCATTCCTATGAACAAGACAAAAAATGATGAGTTTCTGAGTGAGTTGTGCCCAAAGGAGCAAGTCACTCCACATAGTCCACCTCGTGAGGAGCCATATGATCATTTACATGAGGATAAGGTAATATCTAATGACCAAGCAATTTACAATGAGCACGTTTAGTGGAAAAAGCAGAAGCATGTATTAGGTATGCGATTTGTGAGTCCTAAACAATTGAAACATATGATGTGTAACTATGCTGTTGCAAATGGTTATCAGTTATGCTACAAAAAAATGATAGTAGGAGACTTTTAGTAAAATGTTGTTCTGGGCAGTGCAAGTTTAGAATGTGGGCTTCTTGGATGAGTGAGGAAAAGTCTTTCCAGATTAAGAGTATCGTAAATAAGCATAATTGTGCAAGAAACTTCAAATTAAGTTCAATTGTTAACTATTCCTAGATAGGTAAGCCATTACACCACACAATTCTTACATAAACAAAAAGTTAGTGGCAGGGTGCTTAGGGACGAGGTTAAATAGAAATTTGGTATAGATGTAAGTATGAGACGGTATAGAAGAGCAAAGAAGTATGCGATTGAACTGACTGAAGGAACCCTAATGGAGCACTATGCAAAGCTCTGGTCATATGGTGAGGAGATAAGAAGATCAAATCCAAGATCAACAGTCAAAATGAGCAAGTAGTGTCTTGGATCTGGATTATAATCAAGTTTTGACGTCATGCATGGGATTTTAGTCATTAAACCCTATTTTTGCCCTAGAATGGACAATGAATGTTTTGGACATGCAAGTCCATAAAGCCATGATTTTTATGGTCACTATGGAGTGTGAATCATTTTTGGAAACTTTGGAGGTGCAACTTTAAGGATTTGGTGCTTAATAAAAATCTTGATGCATTAAGTCACCATTAGTGATTATATTTGGGAGTTTGGCTTATGGAAGGATTTGAGGGGTAAAGTTGGAAACTTTATCCATCAAGACCATGGGAAGGTCTGGATCTGAGCATTGGAGCTGTTATATTTGGGAAAAGAAGGACTTAATGGTTTAAGATGTCCAGACGTACAACCACGATGTGGTTGAGGTCACCACGATATGGTTGAGGTCACCACGACGTGGTGACTTGGTCATGACCCGCTTGTTTTGTCGGGTTGCGGCCACGGCGTGGCCAAGGAGACCACGACATGGCGAATAGATGGGTTGACTTTTGACTTTTGATTTTGACCTAAGGGTAATTTGGGTATTTTGAGTTGTTGTTTGAGTTTTGGTCTTTATGTATTGTAAAGGTGATCGGTAGAGTTGGTATTTGGAGCAGCATGACGTTACAACTATTTCGTCTGACTGTGAGGTGAGTTTCCTCACTGTACCCGTGGGTCGAAGGCACCAATGTCGGCCCACTAGGATCTGTTATATGCTAGTTGTCTTTGTGACTATTGCATGGTATGTTAGGCTAGGCCTATTGTATGACGGGCTAGGCCCATTGTATCCTGGGTTGGGCCCATGGATCAAAAAGGGCTATGCCTAGTGTATGTGATGTAGGATGCTAGCTGTCTCTGTGACTCTTGCATTTGTATGTTGGGTTAGGCCCAATGTGAGGGCTAGGCCCAAGGATATGTATGGTATGTGGTATTTTGGGAACTCACTAAGCTTTGTGCTTACGATTTTATGGTTATGGTTTCAGGTACCTCCTGTTCGGGAGGGAAGGTCCCAGCTTGATCGCAGCGCATCCACCCATGTTTCCGCAACTTGTTGATTTTGGGATTGTACTTTGATAACTGTTTTTATTTAGCTATACTTTTGAATGACTGAAAAGGATAAATGGTGCCTATGGTTGAATTAAGAAAATGAAATTTTTACCTTATAATTTTTGGGATGTTACTTACAGCAACTTAATGCAATGGTGAACAATGAGTAGATCATTTAAGACAATAACTTTGAGGGTAATACAATAAGAAAATTAATAGGAATAAATTACACAACCATTCATGCTAAACATCCATGCCAAAGAATTTTGCATAACCATTCTAAGCTTTAAATGTCACTTACATTAAAACTTCTAACCCACATGATTTTGATTACAACTTGTACATAATTAAACCCAAAAAAAACCAACTACAGATTAAGTACAACTTCAACTTAAGCACCTCAGACTGAAGTTCTTTCCTCGACCTCATCAACCCAGTTATGATCACACCTTCATTGTTGCACTTTACTTCATCAACCCAAGCTATAAAACCTGAACGGGTATCCTGATTGCAATTATGTGCCTAAATTAGTAAATGTTAAAAAAACTAGCGTTAAAATAAGAAGATGAACAAACTACAATTTACCTTGTTTGGACATGCGTAGAACGGTCTTCCGGGGTTATTGCTAGTCCGCGATGTTCGTATTATTTTAGTACTTCCATATCCACATTCCATTTTCTTCGTTATCTTGCTTGACAGTGGGGAGTATATGAAGGAGAAAACAAAGTGAGAGAATGAAACAAGTAGGTAGAGAAGAAGCTTTTGACAGATTTCAAGTACATGGAAATGGCTAAAAACCCCCATTATGCAAGGCACGTGGGGTTCACTAACACAATACTCTTTCCTTCTTCCCACTTAACATGCATTGGAAATAGATTTTTTTGGATGTCAGAAAATAAGAAAATAAGAACAACGAAAATGTTACATACAAAACGCCTGATTTGATCAGGCCTTTCATTCATCATTGGAGTGGGGTTACAAAATGCATGTTATGAAGACGGGTCTTTTACAATCTTCGGCATATATCGCCAAAAAAACACAAAAGCTACATACTTATATCTTCATAACCACCCTTTACCCAAACTTGACAATGAAATGGAGCCCAACCACCAACAACACGAGCATCCCCGCCATCATGCCACCCATTGCAATACCAATAACTTGAAACTTCTTGTCATGGTCATCTAGCTTGTGCTAGAAACTGATGCGGTCGATCCTGCAAATGATGTAGTCTTGTTCAAGCTGGTCCTTCAACCGCTGCAGTTCTCTTTAGTTATCTGCAATCTTCTGACCACATTCACAGAAGATGGAATGGAGCACATCGTAATTGACATCTTCGTGAAAATTTAAGGAGTCGGTTGAAGGTGGTGGAGCCGACATTAACACTATTTTAGGGTTCTTGTCGGAGGGTGTTTTGGCCGAAAATGGTAAAGAAGTTTCAAGTTTATTTTGCAACAAACCCCACATGGGTTTGTCCATGTTTAATATGCCCACCTAAACCACCGATTTCCTCTAATCTAAGGGTTGTTGGGGGTGTCGTTGGAATTTAATGGCGGTAATAAATCCATGCATGCGTGGCATCGAGTTGACTCAGTAGTGAGTATGTGCCGACTCACCGGGTTATTTGTATTCACTAACTTGCTTACTTGGCAGGTGACTAGGCAATGATACCTACTAAAATGGGTAAAAGGACATTTTAAAACGGTAAAACAGTAGTTCGTGCCCTTCAAATGCAAAAAATAGTCACGAAGGATTATTTAAACCAATATACTAAAGTTTGTTGGACTAATTACCCAAAAATAATTATATCAGATGGATTATGATACGAAAGTAATACATTTAATTGTTTTGTCATGTATTTTAACAAAACATATTATATATTGATTTTTTTTACAAAACTAAAATAAGATTTATAGATATTCCTAGGGTTGTAAACGAACCGAACGAACAAGGGCTTGTTCATGTTTGCTCGTTTAAGTTAGCCGAACAAATGAACAAACACGAACGAATAAACGAACAAGTTTTCTTGTTCATGTTTGTTCTTTTAAAAAATTATATTGTTGATGTTCGTTCGTTTATGTTCGTGAACATGCTAAACGAACATAAACGAACGTAGATAAATAAACATATATGAACATATAATATACTAATGTAATCAAACACAATTGAACATATATGAACATAAGAAGGACTTAAACAAGCGAATAACATAAATGAACGTTCACGAACATAATTAGACAAACAAGACCATTGTTCATGTTCGTCCGTTTAACTAAAAAAACGAAAATTTTTGTTCATGTGCATTCATTTATTAAATAAACGAACATAAACGAAATTCCCGCCGAACGGTTCACGACCATTGTTCAAAAACACCTCTCATATCAATATATCAATTAGCTATTTACACATTTTTTTGAAATCGTTTCTTTATAGGAATTTTATAAAATTATAACTAGCTAAATAAATAAATATTTCGCATATAATCTATTTGATCTAATTTTTATTGTGTTTTAAATCATTTAAATTACTTGAAAAGTATTTAAATCATTGAATAAAAAAATCTATATAATTAAAGTAACTAAAAAATTATATAAACTCAAACTTGAAATATTAATTTAAAACGAAAGACCAAAATTGTACACATGAAACATTAATACAAAATTGGTTAGAGGTGACAAAAATTGACACAACACGAAACCCGACACGAAATAAATGGGTTTGGGTAAGATATTTCAACCCGTTTAAATAAACGGGTTGACACGACACGACACGAAAATTAAACGGGTAAGGTTAGGGTTGAGAATTTTAACTCGAATATGGCTCGAAAATGACTCGTTTATTTATATGCAAGTTTTTTGAATTATTTAAATAAACTAGAAAGATACAAAACCAAAACCATAAGTAAAAGAAAACCTTCGAATTGAGTTGTTTTGTAATGTTGAAATGACTTAGCCGTCTAGATCAAGACTTCATTTCAGTTTTTCCATTTTCTCCCAAACTACCCAGTCTCTTTCACCACTCTCACATCCTCATGACCTTGTCATCCGCCTCCCCAACTCCCACTCTTTTAATTTTGTCATCTGAACTTGGCTATGACTTCATATATTCTGCCTCCAAACTATTAGTTTTTCCTTTCCGCCTACCCAACTCTTACTCTTTCAACATGCTCAATCTTTTAACCTCACATGACACGACATATTTCAAGGTATAGCCCTAACCCGAAACCCGACACGAACTCGACACGAAAATAAACGGGTTGACACGACACGACACGTTAATTAAATGGGTCGGGTTAGGGTCAATCACTTTCAACCCGTTTAGTGTTTCGACACCGACACGACACGATTACCACCTCTAAAATTTGTTATATTATTGATATTTGATAACATCATTTTTTTATGTAAGAATGGTGTTAGGTTTGAGATAACTTTAAACCAAAAAAACCACAAATGTTGAGATATTTATTTATTTATTAATATTGATGTTATATTGTATTTATATTTGCTTTGTCACTTATGTTTATCCCCGTATAAAAAATTAAAGAATCAGATATAGATTAAACCAATCATTTCTAATTATCGTATTTACATTGTTCAACCGAAAAGAATTAGGTAGGTTACAATGGTTATTTGTATTTACATGATTGAAAACAATTAAAGCCTTGTTTGATATGCGTCTGACTGAGTCAAGTCAGACATTTTTGGCTGACACGGTCAGCTAAAGGTGTTTGATAAACTAAATTTGGGAGTCTTACTCGGAATGCTCAATCTGATCGAGTAAAATGGAAGAAATAGGCTAATTGAGAAAGGGAGAAGGGTTCCAATTGTACCCTTGCCCTATCGAAGGAAGAAATCAACGCCTCCATCACTCGAGTTCCTCTCCCTCCATCAAACAGCTACTCTCCTAGTAATCCGAGCATCACTCACCGACGAATCGTTGTGTTTCCTCCCAAACAGTGGCAATGACAGTCCAAGAACTTAGAATCCAACGAAGAAGGAATCGACCCTGTTGGGTTTCTCTCAAATAACCTTGATGGCTTAGATAAAGGTTGGGCTCCCAATAAAGGAAGTCTCAACATCAAATAGGGGGGGGGGGGGGGGTCAATAGAGGATTGGTCAAGAAGAGGTAATGTAACGTTATTTGCGAATGCAAGACGTTTCTGTATCTTCACCGAAATGGTGAACCATCTCCGGGAAGCCTGTACAAAAAATGAAATACCTTAATTGATAACAAAAAAATAACAAGGATTTCAATGTTGAAGTGAACAAAGAATAATCCAAGCTATGGATGAACTTTTTAACTGAAAAACTAAACTAGAACTGAAATTGGTTGGAACCGGTTAATAGTATTCGATTTATAGTTCTTAGTTTACAGCTTATTCGGTTTTGGTCCGGTTCGGACCGATTCCGGGTCTTTACCTTGTTAGCGAGGCATGCGGCTGAGTTGACACTTTTGGCACGTGACAAGACACATAGGTTTCTTAAAAGAGAATGAAAAGGGTGCAGACGTCAGCCTCCTCATCAAGTGAAATTGGGAACAAGAAAATGCGATCCTCATCAAGTGCAGAAAGAACCATGCTAGGGTAAAATCTTATCAAAATAGAAAAATTAAAGGGCTTTTAGACAAATAACCCATTAAATCCCTTCCTCCAGTCTGCCCTTCTCAACCCCATTGTCAATCGTCGGCGACTCTTCTTCTTCCCCTTCCCCACCGTAGTCTCCTTTCTGACGGGGTTTTCCTTGATCGTCTCTCTGTCGTCTCCGATATGATTTTATACACCACTGCTTTCTGACACCGTTGCTTGTTCCTCTGGCATCTGTTATAATTTTCCACGCACACGATTTCCTCATCTTCTGTAACATACAACTCGTCCCGGCCACCGCTTAAAATGGAGGAAACGACGACGCCGGATGGTTCCATCGTAGATGAATCGGAGATAGAGTATGTGAGCTATGCCGGCGAGCATCACTTGCCCCTTATCATGCGCCTCGTTGATGAAGAACTCAGCGAACCCTATTCCATCTTCACGTATCGTTACTTCGTTTATCTCTGGCCCAATCTCTCCTTCCTCGTACTCTCCATCTACCCTTTTTCCATCTTTTCATTTGGTTTTCTTATTCGTCATCAAATCAAGTATTTGATATATTTCTTCAAATCTGCAGGCGTTCCATAAGGGGAAATGCATCGGAACAGTGGTTTCTAAAATGGGAGAACACCGTAATACTTTCAGAGGCTACATTGCTATGCTCGTTGTCCTCAAACCTTATCGTCACAGAGGAATTGGTAATTTTTTTCACTCTCTCACTTGTAGATCTTCTTGAAGAAGTTTATAACCCCATATTAATTTCAACATTAAATATCCAAATCCAGATGAAGGTAGTCGAATTTTGTGCTCCCTTTTGTATATCTAGTTTCAGAAAAGATCATGTGATTCATGCTAGTAAACTGATGATTAGTTGTATTGCAGCTACAGAACTTGTTACAAGATCCATAAAAGTGATGATGGAATCAGGTTGTGAAGAGGTATTCTGTTCTTAATGGATTCAAATAAGTTTCAGTGTGTTCAATTTTACCTGTTCTTTATGATTTGTAACATGCCTTGAATCTTGATACATAGGATAATGATTAGATGCAAAGATACAATGTTATGCAGCATGATTACATATCATGATGCCATCCTTTTGAGACTTATCATCTATATGCAAAGAAATAAGGGCTGAATGCAAGAAATAGCAACTACTTTCATTGATTTGTGTATTATATCATTCTTTCTAAACGTTATGCATATCATACAAAGGGTATGCAAACATTGTGATCCTATATTAAGCTGCTGTTTTCTTATTGACTTAATAGACTTAAAGGTGACAAGACTTAATCATGTAAGTTATATACGAGTGTGTCTTTTTCAAGACTCTTTTTTACTGTTATGCACTTTAAGTTGTAGTAATAATAGCAATCGAATTTTAATTTCTTTCTGACTATAGCAAAGTCATTGGCTGTGAAATTATGGTAAAGTTTCTTGCAATTAACCCTTTTACGTAATACTTACAAATTTGTCATTCATCTATCTTTTCAAAATACAAATATTCTATAAACATGATTTCTCTATTGACACACACAACACTTTCCATATATATATATATATATATATATATATATATATATATATATGTTATGATGATATATTTTGTTATTTGAAGGTAACATTGGAAGCTGAAGTGACAAATAAGGGGGCGCTTGCATTATATGGGCGTCTGGGGTTTATAAGAGCAAAAAGGCTATTTAGATACTATTTGAATGGTGTTGATGCTTTTAGATTGAAGTTACTATTTCCACATCCAGAATTACCACCTTCCCACCCCTACCCCCACTCCAACACTGTAATGTCATCGGTTCTTGAGAGTTATGCAGCACATGAACTTGGTCCATGAGTCAAATCTAGAACAATTCATTTTCTTTAATCAATGTATAACTGTAATCAAAAGATTCGGTTTTTGTTCCCAATTGAAATGCTTAGTTTTATTAGTAAAAATATTGTTATTCGAACTGGTTGTACTGTGTTTGACATGTGATATGTTGCTTTTTGTCCCATCAAAAAATGTGGAGCAAGAAAAGAGCGGAACTTGCTCTTGCTAATTAAATTCTTGTATTTTAGTTTTGTTAGTAAGAATACTATATATACCCAACTAGCTTATATTATATATAAAATTCAAAACAAATTATTGTATTTTATTTATGAAATTGAGATAATTTAGGGGATGTTTGGTAAGCCTCTTAACGATTTCCTTAAGAGTATGAATCTGCATTGGTTAGATCAGTGTGATTGGTTCAAAGGTTTCTAAATCGGTTAGACTTAGAGAGTTCAGTCTGGTTTTCTTCTCACTTGGTTAGACAAATTTGTTGCTATTTTTGGGATTGACCTCAAAGTTCGCTGCTATTGTTGGTGCTGTGTGTGTGTGTGTATTGATATACATGGTGATGTTTAGTTGCTTTGATTCAATGCCTCCTTGGAAGACTTAAGGTGTCTAGTGCACATGGTGGTGTTGAGTTGTTAGGCTCTCATATTTTGTAAACATGCATTTACGCCTAGCCTAATATGAAATGCTAATAGACTTGGTACTGTTTATTCCAAAAAAAGAACGCAAGGTGTTTATTTACTTTGAAAACTTTGTGGAATAAAATAAAATGATGTTATTTACTAAAAAAAATTGTCAAACCGAATGCAAAGTTTGAAATTCAGGGCTGAGATATTTTTTTGTCAAACATGTTGTGTTCCAGCCTCCAAAGCTACAGCGCCTCTTTTGTTGACAATAGAGAAGCTAGCATGACATTTTCTTCCTACCCTATTATGAACATAATAAATGATGGCTGAAGAAATGGTGACTGCCATGACTATAAATAGAAGCTTCATTATCAGTTGTGAAGCATCCCAAACACAGATAGTTAGAGCGAAACATTTAGAGTGTAAGTGTTAGAAAAGAGAGTTGGTTTATTGTAATAGTCGAGTGTGAGAGTTGCTCCTCCTACCGTAATTATGTTCTTGTGTTGAATAGAAGAGTTTTTTCAATCGCAACAACCGGTATCAAAGCCTCGTTTGGTGAGAGAATTTTTTTACGAATTTCTCTGTTTTTGGGTCAACTTCTTTTGTCTCCAAATCCGTTTTTGGGCATACCATTGGAAAGGCCTCATTTCAAGGATTCCGAATATATATTTTTCGGAATTTTTCGACCACCAACGTAGGTCAAAGTCGGTCAAATACCCGCGAGAAAAGTCGCCGGAAAACAGGCTCGCCGGAGAAGAAGCAGTGACATCAGTGTGACATCAACAGCTGACCAAAGTTCCAAAAAGTTGAAGTTTGCTCCTTGATCTTATAGAGTATTGCAGTTTGGTCCCTTTTCTTCCTGGATATTTCAATTTGGTCCCAGTACTTCTGAAAAGTTTCGGAAAGGTTTTTGTGTGGCGAAAATGTTTCATATTGGTCCTTGTATTTTTAGAAGTTACATTTTAGTCCCTGTAATTTTGAGAAGTTACAAATTAGCCCATACGTTTTCGAGAAAGTATATTTTAACCCCATAAAAGTCTACCCCACCATCTTTGACGCTTCTGAATCCAAACGAGAGCTCGATTTTATTTAATTGCTCCTCAAAAATTTCGTAAAAAGAATATGCAACTATTTTTGTTGGAATCTACAAGTATGATTACGGTGGTTCGACTCACACCCACAAATTTCAACATGTGGATGCCAAGGATGGAAGATTTGCTGAATCTGAAGGATTTAGCAGAGCGTTTAGAAAAGAAAGGCGTCAAACCCGGCACAAAAACATAAGTTTGGACGAGAAAAATAAAAAAACAGTGGCACAAATTCGACAGTGGATCGACCACAACGTTTTTCATCATGTATCTCAAGAGGCAAACACATACAAACTATGGGATAAGCTCGAGAATATGTATCAAGAAAAGACGGCATGCAACAAGACCTTGCTGATGATGGCCTTGTAAACCACAAGTTACGAAGTGGTACGTCCATAACTAAGCATATGAGTCAGGATCTCGTAAACCAACTCGGTGCTACTGGCTGGGGTCTCAAAGATGAGGAACATGCCATATTGCTCCTGAGTTCTCTATCAAATCATTAGGAGACACTTTTTGTGACTCTCAACAATTCTGTCCCTGGTAGCAAAGTGACAATGGAGTTGGTCACAGACACCCTAATGAACGGGGAAGCCAGAAGGAAAGAAGCTGGTATAGACCAGACTTTTACCATCGTGTTAGAAAACAAAGAAAGAGGTGAAGGAAAAACTGGAGGTAGAGGTTGAGGTAGAGGTAGAGGCAGACATGGTTAAAGTAGGGGAAGATCCCACAATCAAGGGATATCACAGGAAATCACGAGAGCAAGGTAAGTCTACAAATACATGGTTCGAAGGTTATTGCAATCATTGTAATTATTATGGCCACAAAAAGAGTGGTTGCGGAAAGTTCCTACGGGAGTAGCCCGAGATGATCCAAAGTTCAAGTAGGGAGGATGGTGAAACCATGTTCACCATAACACAAGAACATAATTACAATAGAAGGAACAACTCTCACACTTAACTAGACTATTATAAAAAAAACTAACCCTCTTTTCTATCACTTACACTCCAAGTGTTTCTCTCTATCTCTCTATGTTTGGGATGCTTCACAATTGATGATGAAGCCTCTATTATAGTCATGGCAGCCACCATTTCTCCAGCCATAATTTATTATGTTCATTATAGCGTATGAAGAAAATGCCATGCTAGCTTCTCTATTGTCAACAAAGGGCTACTATAGCTATGGAGGTTGGAAAACAACAAATCTCCCCCTCCAGGGTTCGTCCAACAATCCTCATCCAAACTATGTCAACATATAGTTTGTGTTTCTCTTGTGTCACCACCTTGGACAACATGTCTACAGGATTTTCATTTGTGTTGATCTTTGATAACTTCAACTCTCGTCCCTTGATTGCTTCTCTAAGAAAATGATAACGTATATTAATGTGTTTTATGTGGGAATGGTACATCGAGTTCTTGCTCAGGTAGCACTCTGGCTATTATAATGAAGGATGCACTCTTCTTGTGGAAATCCTACTTGTTGAAGAAACCATTTTAACCATATAAGCTCCTTTCCAGCTTCAACGACAACAATGTACTCAGCTTCTGTTGTTGATAGTGATACATACTTCTATAATTTGGATTGCCATGAGATAGCTCCCCATGCTAAAGTGAAAATGTAACTTGATGTAGATTTCCTATAATCAAGATCTCCTGCCATATTGGCATTTGTATTACCTTCCACGATTGGCTTTTCTCCCCCGTAGCATAAACATAGTTTCGAACTATCCTTCAGGTATCGAAGTATCCACTTGACTGCTTCCCACTGTGCTTTCCCGGATTAACTAGATATCTATTCACAACACCGACATCATGAGTAATATCTGGTCTTGTACACACCATCACATACATAAGACTTTTTACGAATGAGGAATAAATGACTGTCTTCATATTTTCTCTTTCTCTTTCAGAATGCGGAAAATTTTTCTTATTCAACTTGAAGTGATTTATCAAAAGGTTTCCAACAACAAGAAGGAATCTACTTTGATGATATTTTTTTGCCAGTTGTGAAGATGATATCCATTCGAGTTGTACTCGGATTGGTTGACTGTCCAGATCTTGAACTTGAGTAGATGGATGTGAAAACAACCTTTCTCCGTGGTGATATGGATAAATAATTATGCATGGAGCAGTTTGATGGCTTTAAAGTCCTAAAGAAAGAGTATCTTGTATGTAAATTGAAGAAGAGCATTTCTGGTCTTAAGCATGCCCCAAGGCAATGGTACAAGAAGTTTGACTCATTCATGGTAAGTCACGAGTACAAAAGAACCGTTGCAGACCACTACGTCTACCTGAAGAAGTTTCCAGATGGGAAATTTATCATCCTTTTGCTCTACGTAGATAATACGTTGATAGTGGAACAATATACAACGATGATAGACAACTTGAAAAAGGATCTGTCTAAGTTCTTTGATATAAAAGACTTAGGCCCAACACAACAGATATTAGGTATGAAAATTATCAGTGATAGAAAATCAAGAAAATTGTTCTTATCACAGGAGGATTATGTTGAATGTGTGATCAAAAGGTTCAACATGGAAAATGCCAAGCCCTTTGGTACACCATTGGCAAATCAAGTTGAGTAAGAAAAATTGTCCCTCTTTTGAGAAAGAAAGAGAAGAGATGAAGACAATGTCTTATTCCTCATCCGTAGGAAGTCTTATGTATGTGATGGTGTGTATAAGACCAGATATTGCTCATGTTGTAGGTGTTGTGAGTAGATATCAAGTTAATCCTAGAAAGCACTTTGAGAAACAGTCTAGTGGATACTTGGATACCTGAAGGGTAGTTCGAAACTATGTTTATGCTACGAGGGAGAAAAGCCAATCGTGGAAGGTTATACATATGCCAATATGGAATGAGATCTTGATAATAGGAAATCTACATCAAGTTACATTTTTCACTTTAACAAGGGGAGCTATCTCGTGGAAATCCAAGTTACAGAAGTGTGTATCACTATCAACAACAGGAGCTGAGTACACTATTGTCATTGAAGTTGGAAAGGAGATTATATGGCTAAAACGGTTTCTTCAAGAAGTAGGCTTTTCATAAGAAGAGTACATCATTCATTATGATAGTCAGAGTGTTATGGACCTGAGCAAGAACTCGATGTACCATTACCACATAAAGCACACTGATATCCATTATCATTGGCTTAGAGAATCAATCAAGGGATGAGAGTTAGAGTTATCAAATATCAACAAAAATGACAATACCGTAGACATGTTGACCAAGGTGGTGACACAATAGAAACACAAACTATATGATGACATAGTTTGGATGAGGATTGTTGGACAGAGCCTAGAGGGGGAGATTTGTTGTGTTCCAGCCTCCAGAGCTATAGTATCCCCTTTTGTTGACAATAGAGAAACTAGCATGACATTTTCTTCCTACCCTATGATGAACATAATAAATGATGTATGGAGAAATGGTGGTTGTCATGACTATAATATAGGCTTCATCATCAATTGTGAAGCATTCCAAACACATAG